TACTAACAAAATGACATTATTTCTTGTCAAGTTTATTAGCAAAATGATTTGATTGAAATGTGTACAAAATGTATACAAAATGACATTATTTCTTGTCAAGTTTATTAGCAAAATGATTTGACTTGAAATGTATACAAAATCAAATGAAAATTACATAGAGTACAAGTCACTTAAGATACCTAAACATAAAATATCATTTAAGTATGAAGAGAGACATGCTACTATTAATATTACCTATCTTTCTTCAACAGCTCTTCCAGGTAGACTGCATTGGCATGATAAGCAGTCAGCATGTTTAATGGCCTCTGATATCTTTGGTAGTATAAACGAGAAGCTTCAATATAATGCTTCCGCCATGCCCGGTAATATCGTCTCCAGTATTCTTCAGGACTTGAATTCTCATTGTGAGGAAAAGGAGCATTTTTGCTTTGGGATGCCTCTTCTATAAATTCAGTCTTGAAGGGGTGATTGGAGTGATAATGGTCACGCTTGATCTGTTTACTCTGTTTCACATTCCCTTTCATCTTCTTTGGAATCAGAAAGGTGTCCTGAAATTGCTTTTGCTTAAGGGCAGGACTGAATTGCTGAGGATGTATCTCATCTGTTGACAGTATACTATTATCTCTTTGCTGCATAGAAGAGGATTGATTCTCTTGGCTACAGATGGATGATTCAGAACTACAAGACCTACTATCACTATCACATTCCCCAGCCAATGTCCCAGTTGTTGCTGCCACATACTTACTGGATTCCATTCCTACTAAATCTAAAGAATCTAACTGTTTATCTTGGTTTCTGGGATTTACGTAAGTTCTTATAATCTCTACATCTCTCTCCAATCCTTCCTTAATGAAATATTCATAATCCTCAATAAATTCCACCATGCTCCATACGCAGACAGAATCCTGGTTCTTAAAAGACGACAGGCAAGGGATTTTAGGAAGCATGTTCTTTAAACTTTCTTTGTCCACCTGTTCATTATTGTGCACTGCAGATTCACAATCAGGTTCCACTTGGTGTTTTTTCAGTGGGATATTTTCATGTTTATTTCTATTCATTGTTGTTTTAGGATGCTCTTCTGTTCTATTTTCAAGAAGCTTCTTTTGTTTGAAACCTTGTTTTGGCTTGGCTACTGGAGAATTGTCACAAACAATGACCTCTGCACTAGCACTTATTGTTGGGTGTTGCCTAATCCCTTCTGGCCTTTTAACTGGCAACAGACATGTATGAGGAGATGCATTGGGATATGGGACAGCAGTGACTTCTACATGCCCTCCTTCAAAATGTTCCAGCAGCTCTGGTGGCAAAGTTTCTTCAAGAAAAAGAAAAAGAAAATCAGCCATGAGTGACTGAATCATCTGATAACATACCATAATTTCAATGTTTAAATTATTTAAAATCTATGTTTTTATTTTTCAGACTCCACTATCTTAAAGTGAAAAATTCAGGATCTGGGAACACAAAACTTAAATGAAGCACGTTTTAAATACAATACATAGCAAATATATTTTTAATTGTTACAAGTATTCATTTTAAAAGGAGGAAAGACAAACAAAAGCATTGCCAGGAACTAAATGATTGTATACAGTGATATATAACAAATACAATGATATAATTCAATTCCTCTTGCCTCTCAAAGTGCAGGCTAATGAATTTGGATGTCTCTTCCCATAAGAAAATATTCTCCATCCTCTAGTAAGTGTAGTTAGCTGCTAAAATTAACTTAAAATTTATCTCTACCTTGTTTTAAACCAATTCCAAACATACGTTTAGTAGGTAAAGTGAACTGTTTCTCTAGCACCAATGTAAAATGTTCAACGTGTTCGTGATAACATGTTGTACAATTGTGCGATTGACAATGAAAATATTCACATTTAGTTATTTGCAATATGCACTGAAGTTCCTCATCATGTGAAATGTATAACTCCAGTAATTCCTTCATTGAAAAAAACTTTCATTAAATATTAGGATTCTGAGAAAAAGGACTATGAATGCATAGCTAACAGTACACTAGTACACTATTACCATTTAATTATGATCATCTCTGGGACACCATTTTCAAAGACACTTTAATTCATAAAATTATAGTCATGTACAAGAGTAATTCTTACCTGGTAAAGAAAGAAGCTGAAGATTACATTTTTGTGCAATTTTCATCATCGTATTTTCTTCCTCTCCACGACAGCAGTATGTCACAGCTAATCCTAGAGTTCCTACAATAAAGCAGAGATTAAGATCAGTTGGACAAAAATATTGGTCCATTTTACAAAGTAATAATTCAAAAGAGTGTTTACCAAAGCGTCCAGCTCTACCAATCCGATGCATATATGTTTCCCAATCCAAAGGGACATCTAAGTTAACAACCAGATTCACCTTCTCAGCATCAATTCCACGGGAAGTCTGCAAGAAAAGAAACAGTGAAGTGTTTATGAGTAGGAGCTAAGCCAAGCAAATTAGAGAAGTTGTCTTCTCAGTTTTTTCCCCCATTACAATGCTATAAAGCAGGGGTTGTCAAGCTGCCGGCCCATGGGCTGGATATGTCATGCCAAAACCGCGCCCACCCCATTGCCAGCAATGGAAAAAAAAGTCACAATACGTCGCGACACGTCACATGACGTTGCGAGTTTGACACCCCTGCTATAAAGGGAAAGACACTTCTTAATGGCTTGAGTCAAATGCAAGTGCTCCAGTTCAAAAAGAGTTTCCTTAATACAACAGGTTACACTCTATAAAGCATATGCTTGTAAAAGTTCCACTGGCGACAGCAGACACAATCCAGAAAAAAAATCAACTGTATTTAGAAATATTCAAATATTCAATGTTTATTATAAATTAGATTTAATGTTTATTATAAATTAGAATTAAATCTAAAGTTGGTATTGTATTTTTCTCTTGCTACAAATACTGCAAAAATGGTGTAATAAAATGCAAAAGGAATAAATAGATATGGAAAACTTCAGATATGAAAATTTTTATATAATGGTGCTCTATTGCTGGAAAACAGGATGTTAGTTATGGTTAACATTTCTAGATCCCTTGGGTTAATCTTGTATTAAGTAATGTTATTAGCTATAAAAACTAATTAGGAGAACTAACCAAATCTGTCGAAATTAACACTCTGCAATGAAACTGCTTCAGCTTAGCCATGGCATCAAGTCGTTGGTTCTGATTCATACTGCCTAGAAAAGCAAAGATAAATAAATATATAATTCAATACCAATTAAAGAAACACTGTTATATTTACTCAAGTAGAAAACTTACTGAATTTACATGCATGTACCTTTAAAAATAACAAATTTTGTATACACAATGCTCAACAAAATAACAACAAATCTACAAGCTTACCTGAAATACACTCAGCAGGAAAACCTTTGGATGACAATATATCTGCCAAGTGTTGAGCTCTTTAAAATAAAACAGAAAAATAAAATGTCAGAGAGACTTCTATGTATACACATATGTTTACTTCCTGTCATAATAGTTTTCTTTGCCAGTTATTTAAACTGTCTCATAAGAATGTGGCAGAATATTAAACAAAGTGACTGCTTACATAAAGCCATATTGCTTTTTATGAAGATATTATTACACTGTGAACATCTGCTCTGTTAGTAATAAACTCTTGATTTTTTAAAATATATTAGAGGCAGATTCTTTAAAAAAATTAAGTTTTTTAGAGAAGAATATTGAGTCTTATGCAATGTGCTTAGCTTTTAATGATCAAAGATCTCAGCTCTATAAATTAAGGGGCCCAACGTTCTTAACTATATTTGCTAGGGCTATGGATGCTTTGAAAATTATTGGAAGACATGCTTTCATCACACAATCTCTATGTTACTTATTAAAACAGAAGTCTGAAAAAATGTGAGTTGCTTTACTGAATAGTAAGGATACAGTGCATGGGTGAGGACTAAAACACTTCTTCCGAACATTTTTTTAAGCAAAACCCTAATCCCTTTCTTTTCCTCGAATATTATATGCATTTGACATTCACTTAATGCACGACTACCAACCCCCAAAATTTTTGTTTGAACTTTTTCAGATTTAAAAACAAAATAAAATTCAGAATACCGGCTATGTAGATTTGAGAAAACCAAGGCCTGGTTGAACGGTATTTTCCTGAAAAGCTCATGTAAATGCTCAGCCTTCTCCTCAAAGATTTTATGAGGTAATGGGTAAGAATTCACAACTTTATAGTACTGCTTCAATCCTAACCAAAACAGAATAGGCTTATATAACATAGGCAAAATCAATAACGACTTGACAAGGATACAAATTTAACAATATATTTGCACCACAATATATGGTTGTAGTGTTACTAACATAAAACATCTGCACAGAATGATGCATATTTAATCATAAATTCCATAAATACTGGATATTTGTACAAAAATAAAAATAACTCATTTACCAATGAGACTTGGGTCAGTAGGATTCAGCTTCACAAACGTGGGTTCTCTCATGTATTTAGCCAAAGTATTAGCTAAGGATTCAGGATAGGTGGCTGAAACTGCCAACATCTGCTTATTGGCTGGTAGAGAAGAATAAATCCAACTATGATGTGAAAAAAAAAACACAATTCACAGTAAATATTTTGGACCAATTAACGTATGTGTGCACATGCATGCATATACATACATATTAATTTAAATTGCTTCGAATATCAATAAGCAGTATTGTATGATCTAAGCAGTAGTGTATGATCTCAGCCAGCATGCCTGGCTGAGGAATTCTGGGAGTTGACTTCCACAAGTCATAAAAGGGTCAGGTTTGAAGACCCCTGATCTATACAATATGGATCATCCATATAATTACATGGATATCCAGTGCAACAAAGATAACAGTAAATATAAAACAGTTTCACATCAGTAAATATTGCTTTATGATGTGCTTTGCTGATTCAAGTAAAGATCTTCAAAGCAAAACACTAAAGTAGATCAGCAATATGTAAAAGTACTAAGAAATTAAAAAAAGAAAATACTGAGGAGTGACTCTAATGCTACTTTGCCCAAACTTTGCCAATTCTGGCAGGCAAAAAACTCTAAGATAATGTGCACAGAGGCAGTATAAACAATGGTAGTCATTCATTTTCTTAAACTTTTGCCCAGCTCCTCAGAAAGACAATAAACCTAAGGATGACAAGATATACAACAATCTCAGTTTCATTTGATTACCTTGCTAACCAGGATGCTATTATGTCCAAGCACTGAGAAAAAGAACTTAAAGTGAGATAAAAGGAAGTTTATCAAATAATGGCTCCCACATTGTGGAATATACTCACCCCAGAGCCACATGGCTCCAATTCTCTTTGCATTCTGGAAGGTCTTTATGTTTCTTTGTTATTAAGTATTTTTTATTTTTATTCAGGCAGTTTACAAATACTGAAAAATCCCTTAGGCACCAAACGTATGCATTTCCAGGATTACATTTTAGATTGTACTCCCATATTTGTTCCAAGCCCATTCATGAATTTCTCAGACTGTTATATTTATGTTATATATTTATATTTACACACAAAAGAAATTATGTGTAATTATGCTTACTTGACTTGTTCCTGGAAGCTGCCTTCTTCTAAAAGCTTGTCTGCTTCATCAAGAATGAAAAGACGAATGCTGGATGTATTCAAATAGTCCAGCTCTATAAGTTGTTTAATGCGACCTTGAGGGGAAAAAAGAAGCAATGAGAAAGAAAAGAGCAATGAAACATAGACAGAAAGTCCTTGTTTAGCAACCATTATTTGGACGAGCATCTTGGTCATTAAATGAAGTGGTCACTAAGTCAAAATACAACTGTGCTTATGATCTTCAGTTTATTCACACAGATGTAATCTGCTAGCTATACAGCACATGAAATAATGAGATTAAAATATCTCAAATGCAATGTTTCCTTACCAGGAGAGCCTACAGCAATATGACACTTTTTAAGTCTCATTTTATCTTGATTTAAAGGAGTTCCTCCAATGAAGACATGACATTCCAAACCTTCCATTTTGATCCCAATAGTTGTAATTACTGCATGTATCTGCACAGCAATCTCTCGGGTAGGAGCCAAGACTAGAATCTGAAACAAATATAATTCTATAACTTGACAGTGGAAAAATCAACTAAAATTGAAATTATTTTTCTCAGATCAGCTAATAAATATAATTAAATGCTTGGAGGGGAAACTAAAAGCAAAATATCTTCCATACCACATCAAGCTCGACCTCTACTGATTCCACGGATTCATCCATGTAGCTTTCTTGGCAACACAGAAATGATTTAGCATTGTCTTCTTTAGAATGTTTCTTCTACTTATCAATCTAGCCAATTCTTCTAAAATTTTGGTCAAACACCATCTAGGTTTTTGAGATTATCCAAGAACAACCTTCCCCAAACACAAACAATCTAGAATACTAATCCTCAATTTAAAAGAGGTCAGATAATCAGTAATTGATTTCATTAATTGCATTTATATAGTCAGCTAGAAGCAGACTCAAGTCAGGAATTTTTGACGCAAATGCAGGTAACATTACGAATATACTTTTCAACAGCATGCACAACAGCAATATCACTACAGCTGATTGCTATATTTGCTTTTGAGATGAATGTTCCTATTGCCCTTACCTGAGTCACTGAATTTTCCAAGATAAGGGAGTCAAGTGCAATAGTAGAAAACACACAGGTTTTACCTGTGCCTGATTTTGCTTGCACAATAAGGTCTAAAAGACAAAAAAAGTTATTTATACATGTCAGAAAGATCAAAGACATCTTTTGAAAGTCAGAACAAAAAGGTTATTATATATAAATAAGGTCAGTATTCCTTCACCAGTATTTGGGGCTGGGAATACAACTAGGATTCCCTGAAAGCTTAAACTGCACCAGTTTTCTTTAATAAGAAGTCCTACTAATATTTCCATCACACACAAATAGTCTTCGACTTACAACAATTCGTTTAGCAACCATTCAGTTAAAACAGCACAGAAAAAAATATTTTATAACCGCTTTTCACATTAACAACAGTTGCAGCATCCCCATAGTCATGTGATCAAAATTCAGAGACAGCTTGCAACTGGCATGTATTTAGAACAGAGGTCCCCCACCTTTTGGGCACCAGGGACCGGTTCCGCGGAGAGAGGTTTTTCCGCAGACTGGAGGGGGCGTTGTTTTGTGTGCTGCCTGCATCCTGCAGATGGTCTTTCCTTATTTGTGCAGACCAGTTGCTAGCATGCCGCAGCCTGGTACTGGTCCACGGCCTGGGGTTGGGGACCCCTGATTTAGATGGTTGCAATGTCCAGGAATCATGTGATTACTTTTTTGTGACCTTCTGACAGATAAAATCATCAGGGAGGCCAGAGTCACTTAACAACCCTGTTACTAAATAACTGCAGCGATTCACTTAACTGTGGCAAGAAAGGTCATAAAATGGGGCAAAAGTCAATTTACAACTTTCTGGTATAACAATGGAAATTTTAGGTTCAATTGTGGTCGTAAAGCGAGGCCTAGCTGTATCGCCAATTACACTGGAATTTCTGGAGCCCATCAGAAATATTACTTTCTCTTGAACTCGTTTGGAAATGTCACACATAAGCAGAAACACGAGAAATCTATAACAGCACCCCCAATGTATTAGGCTGCATTAAATTCCAACCAGTTATCCTTAAAGTGATACGCTTGCTTGATACAAGAAAGGTTTTCTAACCGCTGAAGAGCCAGCCTGCAAGAAGAGGCGCGGCCCTCTTCCAAAGGTTTTCCCATTTCTTAAGCATTTTCGTCCACCCATAGATTTACACCGCAGCACCACTGTAGCCCGAAGCCTCCTATAGCCCCCATCTCACCTAAACCGCAACGGCCTAGCGGAATAGCTTTGAGCTGCACCGGAGAAGGCCTTAAGAACCCCGCCGCTTTCAGCCCTTCCAGAACTGGGGCTGAAAGAAGCAGCGACCCAAAATCTTCAGGCCCTTCCTGGAGGACATCCCGAGTACGCAGCCACGTCTCCGCCATCGAGGGAACCGCGTCCGGCGCTTCCATCTTGGACTGCAAAACGCCCAACATCTCGCGAGAAATCAAGCCGGCGTTGGAAATAAGACGCGAGTCGTCGCTATGCTGCTGTAGAACGCGCGCGCCAACCAAACGGGAGACGAAACCGTTTGCTGTAAGCTCAAAAGAGAAACATGAAGGAAAGGTGGGGGTGGTTGGAAATGATTGGTCCACTCCAAGAGGATGAAACCATTAAAGGAGGGGGGGGGGAAAGGGGATAGTTGAAGGGACAGTCCACTGCTTTTGGAAGTGGAGGATCGAATGAGGGTTCGGCGTGGGGGCTTAATGAAGGCAGGACTCTGAGATGAACGGGGAGGGGTATCGAATTAGAAAATGTGGTGCTAATGATGCGCGAAATTGATGTTCCACCGCAATGACTAATAAATCCATTCCGACACAAACAAGGATCAAGTCTCCTTCCAGTTGGCCTCGATTCCCAGAGACTCCATAGATACGTGTTTACTGTGTAGATACAATATGAGCAACAATATGCAAGTGTTTTATCAATGCCATCTTCCGGGCTTTTTTTTCAAGTTCTCAGTTTAACTTGCCCTGCTGGGTTTCCTCATCTATCGAGCCCGAAGCGCTTGGCTTTTCGAGGTCACCTGTAATTGACCAAGGGCTGCACATTTTATCTCCTCTATCTCGTTTCAAAATTGGACTTGAGTAGGGAAATCATTCAGGCAAAAGAAATAACTGCACATGATTTAATAATCTGCGTTACTGATTCAAAGTGCGAGAAGCTCCTCGGGAAATAGGCATTGTGTCATTAACTTTACAACTGAGAAGAGTTGTTTTGTTTTTTTTTAATAAACAATACTTAAATTCCGTTGCTGGAACTAACTTTAATAAAGCTAAAAATGTATATGTATGCATACCTGGTATATATAAATTACAACGATCAGAGGTTCAATTGATGCCTCCATTTCTATCTCCATTATTTTTCTTTTTGTATTTGTTCTACAACACAAATACCTTTGGGTTTCTTAGTCTTTGTATAACACCCCCCTCTAAAAAGAATAATGCAAATCACAATACATTGCTATTCTTTTTAAAATTGCTATTTACAATTACTATTTTATAACTATAGTTTACAATAATCTGTATATAATAAAAAACCTCTCTTTTTAAGGCCCTGCAATCCCTTAAATTAGGGTAGAGTCAGGCTGACTGAATGGAGCTGACCATTTACTGGCTGGATGCCTTTCCTGATGCTACAGGGGTTTGCAGCAGATTTTTTTTCTCTTTGCACCCTAGGAGAGAAATATCTGCCATTACCAGGATTGAACTCTCAACTTCCAAATGGGAAGGGAGTGTCTTCACCCTAGGCCACTTATATAATTTGCATGCAATAATACAAATCAATGTTGAAATTGAGTAAAGTCTTGTATAATTTGCACTTTGGAGGGAGGAAAAGCTGATACTACTACTGCACCCCTGCTATTTCATGAATTAGCTACAAACCTTGTGCCTGATACGTAGAGGTGGTCTGTTGGTGAAGCAGAAAAGGTTGCTTCTTGACCAATGGCTAAAGCTGTGATCAAAACTGTCTGCCAGACAAAGCAACATTGTGATTAGACTATAATTTCTCACGGGCTGGTGATGTTGAGGGTAAACTTTCTTCAAAGTTTGCCCATTTTGCATCAAGGAAACTTTAAAGAACGTTAAACAGTATGGCGGCAAAAATCCAGCACGGGGAAAAATACCCAGGCTTTTTGAGACACCAGACTAGTGTGCATTTACGTGCCTCCAATCCCCTTGCTTTCTGCAAAGCCATATTGGAGTCCTCTGGCCCCTCCTTCCAGCCCATTTCGGAGTCGGTCCAAAAGCTGATCGCTGCAGGGCTTCATTTCTGAAGACCCTTTTCACAGGGTCCGGACAAAACTCCAGGACTGAAAAAGCCAACAGGAGCAAAGGGCTGTTCAAAAGAGGAGGAAAAAGGAGAAAGTGGGAGAAGTCACTACTGAACAAGCGAGGCCTGACAGGTGTTGGGGCGTGGTAGGCCTGGCTGCAGGGGTCCTTCGGCATGGTAAGCTGTTGCGGGGTGCATGAGACAGCTCTCCTTCCCCACCTACCTTGTGGTAGCGTCCCCCCCACCTCCCCCCTGCCTCCCTTCCTGCAGAGAACTGGTTGTTAAATTATTTGAATCCCACCACTGAATATTACCATCTGGTGGCAAAGCAGAACACAAGCTGGGAGACAAAAAGGTATAGGAATTGAAAGGAGAACAGCTAATTTAGTTCCTTTTTCCCCCTGATGGTTCAAGGACAGGCAGAAAGCATTTTAAACAAATTAAGGCATAAAACAAGTTTAAAGATATCAATTGCACTTTCTGTTTTTCACCAGAAGAGAGTGCAATCTGACCATGACATGTGTTTTTATTTTTTTAAAAAGCAATAAAAAAGAAACACAGTTAAACACATGTAGTGATTATATTCTTGTAAGACAAACAAGATTCTTCTTCCCATCAAAAAAAGAAATACTTATTGAATACTTATTGAAGCCTTAAAAACGAATCACAAGGAACAGCATACTCTGGTAACAAGTTGAATTGACTATATCAAAAAATGAACAGTTCCTTATAAACGGGAAATAGGATTAGGTTGTACAGTGAATTGTTTTTAGACTCCAGTGTATTTCAATCTTGGCAGCTTTCAGATAAGTGGACTCCAACTCTCAGAATTCAGCAATCATACATCTGAAAGTTGCTAAGGTAGAGAAACTACTAGTCTAAAGTAGCATAAAGTAAAGAAACATTAGCACGTTTGGGCCATCATGGACTTTTAGTATTTATTTGTTTTATAAAAAGCATCTAATTTAAATTGATAGTAGGAGTTTTAATATGTCAGAAAAGCACCCATCCAAAGCTCGAATTATTGACTATAGGATGTGAAAACATTCCTAAACTCCTTTGATTCTAAGTGGTGCATTGGAGAGAGAATTTAAATGAGGGAAATGGTCCCTGGGCAAAGGAATAATTATTCTACTTTTCATGTTACAGTTCCAGGTAATATACAGTTCAATGTTTGTCCCTGATTTTTGATCATAGATAAATAATGACTGTTAGTGTTTTGAAGTTTTTTGTTTTATTTTATCTTGTTCTGTCTATGCTACTTGAGATGGTCTCAAGTAGCATACTTGAGTAACTCCGAGTTACCTTATTTCCTCATCATTTGGCAGTGTGTTTCCATTTGTCCTACATTCTTCTTTTTGTGAAATTAATTATACAATATATTGCATCTGTATGTGTTTCACCAATCCATAGGCCAGTGCATAGTGTATGTTTGCACGTACAATATAGTGTGCTCTAATAACCAAGAGCAAAAATAATTGATTCTACTATTACAGCTAAGCATATTCTGACGTACTATTGTCCAATAACATAATTTCAGCTTCATAAAAGAAAGGAATCAGTAATAAGAGTCTAAGAAAATAATTGATTCTAGTATTACATTATTCTAGTATTAGTAGACAATCTGACATTTTATAATTTTATCGTTTGTAATTTCATTTTATAGCATAACATAATTTCAACTTCATAAAAAAGAAAAACACCAAAATATAGAACAGAGACTTAAAAAGGATCCCCTTTATCCAAATCCATAAGATATATAGGATTTCTGGGCAACTATTGTTTTTATAAATAGATTTTAAATTAAACCCAGATATGTCTTGTCTATGGATTTATGTCTGCAGTGAAGATAATAACACAGTGATAGAAACTGGCAGCCAGAGTAAGTACTGACAAAGATAATCATTTCCAAACTGTCATGTGATATTACAGCTAATTTAGTAACTGTGATATTCTACTGGAAGTGTCATTGATGTCAGCCGGGCAACCCTGCAGATTTTCTAGAGGGGGTTATTCAAGTAATTGCTTCCTCCTTAAGCAACGTTGCCAAATCATAGCTCCTTATATCCAGCCAACATACTTTGTTTAATATACACTCCAAAGACTGTAATGTTGCAAATTATTTGTACAGAATTAATCTCTCTAATGTCAGTAACTTATGAAGTATATTTATCTCTGTTACCCTCAAATACTGTGGTTCATGAAGAGGAAAAAATAGAGCACATTATCCCTTGGATAATTGTCTGCATGACTACTATTGGAAAAATAATGAAAACAATTTTCTTCATGCATTAGAAGCTAGAATTCAACAAGATAGTGTTTACACATCTAGGAACTGCTGTCTTTATAGCATTCCGTGTAATAGTTCCTAATATGATTCACCAAAATGTGGGCCCAATCATCACCTTTTTAAAAGCACCGTCAGAACAGTAAGACTTTGGGATAGTTTTTGGCAGTGATGGTTAAAATTGCATTCCTATATGCATGGATTCAACTGTTCCTCCATCTTTCAGATTACTTGTTTTAGCATATACTTTTTATCTATCTATCTATCTATCTATCTATCTATCTATCTATCTATCTATCTATCTATCTATCTAATTTATATAGACCATCTCAGAAAACAAGTTATTCAGGACTCCCAAGTTAAAACAATCTCAAATACGCAAAATCATTATAGTTGTTAACAATAAAAATATTTAAAAAAACATGAGCAAAAGTAAAAACCAGATAAAGAGATGTTAACAGTGGCAGAGCCACCTCGCTATCTCAGCAATCCGTTGGGGACCCCAGGCCTACTGAAACAAACAAGTCTTGAGAGATCTTTGGAAATTCAAGAGTGGAGGCCAACCTCACCTCAGGGGGAGAAGATTCCATAGTGCAATTACTTTTTTTGAGGGGGAGAGAGAGAGGGAAAGAGGATTTTTTTCTTTCATATGATGTGGACTATTTCTAATAGGCTCAGATGATACTTTTAGTTCATATTTAAAATGCAGAAATACTGTAGAGCCTTTATGGCCAAACTATTTACAATGAAGAATAATGTCTGTTGTAAAGAAATACATAACTATTTCTGTGTGTATATGCATGTGCCTTTGAATCAGGGTTGAGTTGCCAATTGTCTAGTCTCTGTTTTTGAGTATTCATCATTTTATAATTT